TCATGGTTAGTAAATCTACTTGTGTGCTGGATGTAGAGTGTAGTCTCTACACTGGTAAAAAAAAATAATAAACAGTTGCGTAAATAAGTACATTTCTCATCTATTTTATTAACCTTTGACTTTTGTCATCTTCCCACAGGCACAGGATGAGGTTGCCTCCTTGTGGCCATGTCAGTTTATAAAATTACATTTAAAACTATCAAACCTTGAGGCTACATGACAAAATGTCATGACAAAATAATACCTTCAGAAAAGAACTTTCTTTAAAATTCTGGCAAGTGTCAAAACAAGGACAACACAAGGCTCTACATACATATCACTGTGTCCTTATTCATTTAGCAAAGGCTAAAGCAAAATGTCACCCCTAATACCAAAGATTAGTAGCAGTCAGTTACTTTAAAACAGTTTGAATTAAAATTATCTTAAAACCGTAGAAGTTCTGTTAAGAGCATTCTACTTTGTGTTAACACTATGCCAGGAAAAAATTGCTAACAACCCAAAAGGCTCATGTCACATGTGACTCTACAGGCCTCACTCAGCATGTTAAATATTAAAGTTCACAACAGCACAGTTAGAAAAAAGTCTAAGGGAGTACAGTTTGTTTGAAAGGGTCCCAAAAGAAAGTCTTCAAAAAAACATAACATGGAACAATGTCCATTAAAAAGACTCATAAAGTGCATATGCTTGGGCATGATGCACGGACCCACGTCAGATGAATTACAGAAACAACACATCAGGACATCAGTTCCAACTGATTTGAGCTAATTTTGCCAAAGATTTTCTGAAACTGGGTCATCAACTGGACGATTATCCCAAACAAGGCGGCAGGTTTACAGTGAACGAGCTGATAAACAAATGAATAAGAAAGTGTTCCACATCCAGACGTGATGCATGTTGAAATGCTTCAGCTAAACTCTGTAGGAGAGAGATACGCATAAACTAACCAGTGGTGTCATTTGTTTATGAGAGGCTAATGGTGTCACAGAGAAAGCAGTGATGTGGTTCAACAAGCTGTGAGTCATGGCTCTGCTCAGCCTTTCACACACCACCTCTGCATTCTAATGTAGTTTTTGTTAAGTGAATGACAGTATAACATGTCATGTGTTGTTCAACTGAGTGTGAATTTCCCTACTTTCCTGCAAAGGACTAAATAGTTTAATTAAGTCCAGATATGCAAAAGAAAGAGGGAGTGCCTTCACATAATTATTGAAAGGGTAAAGTGCAAGGGCAAATACCAGCAACCTGTTTTATTAAATATCAATCTAATTCAGAGATGACAAGTGATGTCTGTTGTCAGTGTTGCCAACTGTTTGATTAATCTGAAACCAAGGAAAGAGAGAGAAATATATCCTTCTGATTATGATATTTTCCAAAATATATCATGTTTAGTTAATGAAACCCTACTGGGCAAAAACATTTTGAACTTCTTTGAAAATATAATTATCATTATCTAATCATATAAATTGCAACAAAAAAAAACAAAAAAACAGAAGCTTATTTTTTTTAAGGAGACAGTGTAATGTTTGTCAGTACTACAAATATACATTTTCTATTTTTAAATGAATTATTTGCATGCCTGATGATTCTCCCTGATGCTGAAATTCGGAGGGCATATCCGAAGTGACTTTGTTGCTCAGTGAGCACTGAGCTTTGGACACCTTTCTGCATGAACTTTAAGCAAAGGTCAAGTCGGAAGTGGCTGTGTGACAAATGAACTGGCTGGGGATGTCCTCACAGCTGCAGGGATGAAAGAAATACACGACTCACAAAGAGTTCAGGGTATTTGGCTTTCAGGTGAAATTTCATGGAGGGACCTAAAATGCACAGTAACTTCTACAGGTCAACTTAACGGGAACTTCTTTAAACTTTTGAATGCATATGTTCGTTGTTTCAGTAAGTTTTGCTCAATTTTCTGTTCTCTTCACAGGAAAATTAAGTGTGCATGGCAAGTTACTGTGACATTGACATTTTTTGTTGTGGTATTGGCCTCTGTTTCAATCAATTGTTTGAGGTAAGGAAACACCAATGTATGTTTCTATTGAAATGGCATAACTGTGGTGTGAAATTCTTACATTTTCCAGAAAATTTCACTCGAAATCTAAAAATATCCATAACTTTTTTGGAGTATTGTATGCTCCAGTCTAGCAGAGAAATAATGCTAATCAATTTCTGGTACAAGAAATATAAAATAAATATATAAAAAAAAACAACTGACGTGACTGTCAGGGAGTTAATTAGTTTTTTTTCACCACTCCCCCAACACTGGTGGGTGGTTACTGTGTATAAATCCAGAGAAGCAAAAATATTACAGAACTCTCTCAGAATAAACACCACGCCCACATATCTGCACTTTTGACATAGAAAAAAATAAATAGTGCATTGAATCCTCTGGTGACAATCCCACCTTGGTTTGTGTCCATCTTCTGTAATGTCTATAGTATCTGAATTTTACATTGCCAACATAAAAATAAACAACGTGCAAAAGTTATCCATAGATAGGTAGCAAAGTCAGATTGCTGTGAATACGTGGGATATTTCTTTATTTTAGTAATGGTTCAGCTGATAATGTCAGACACAGTATCTGTGGTAAAAGGGACAACATTGACAGAAAATAACTAATAAAAAGCACTGTAAACTCCTGTTAATCATTATTACTCTGATTTACTTTTTGTCTTAACTTTGAAAAGAGATGTGTTTAACACCTATTGTTAAGGTAAAAAAAATATTGCCTTCCCTGATGTTCTTACTCATTTGTCTGCCAATTTACTCACAATTCCCATGATGACCAAAGGAAGTCATTTATTTAATTTAATTATTTATCTTTGTTTTGTTACACCTCTAAATCTTCAAAAGCAATTTTTTAAAGCCTTATTCCAGGCATCCCTTAGGGTTTGGAGAGCTAATCAACTGCTCTGAGGAAATTTCTGTTGACTTTGTTACACCTCATAAGAAGTAAAGAAATAAAGACATAAACCATAATCAGCAGAGGTCGCAGTAAAGCGTCCAAACAAGCATAAAAAAAACAGTGTTTCCTAAGAAAAATCGTCTGTGGAATAGTAAATACAAGGAGAGATACTTTGTAACCAGAGCTATTGCAGGCTGCCACTAGTGTGGTGATGATCTAGGGGGATCCTTCCTCTTTTTAAGTTAAGATACGTTGTGGCCAACTCGTAGCCAAGAGGGCCATGAGTAAGTTTCAGAAAAGGATTTTCAAAGAAAGCATGAAAAAGAACCTTCAAAAGCTACGGCGTGTAGCACTGCAAAGTTTTCAGGACTGGACAGAATGGAAACAGTTGGACAAGTGAGGTGACCTCCGAGCTCACACTATTAGAAACCTTTATGCCACCATGATCAGTGTACCCCTGTGGACTAAGGAGCGACTCAGAAAACCATTTCCATTCATCACAACTGCTGTGTCCCTGCAATACAACAGTAGATCACACAAGCTCTTCTGCAGAAATTCTACTGAATTCAGTGCCAAAGATAAGAAAGACCAACCAGATACTATTAATGCAGAGCTGTATGGGATGAATTTGTAGAGCTTGTCACAATGATTATTTCAACAGCACAATTCCAGGCCTCACTACGCACAATTTCCATCATTATGTATTCATGGACACAATCTGAAATCCTGACCGGTACGCCTGCAGTCCGGGGCAACAGACGTCATCTTGTGCAGCTTCAGTCTTGTATTCACTAATAATAAAAACCAAGTTCGTCTTGGAAAGTTGCAAGATTTAGTATGCTCAGTTCCCTTAAGAATAAAATGTGTAATCAAAAGGAAGGCTGATGTAACACCACGTCAAACAAGTCACTACTGCAGCTTTTAAAAACTGTGCTGCTGGAATTCGTTTTTGATGTTCTAATACGCTGAAGGTGGTGAGCAAAGACACTGATATTTTCCTTGGACATCTATTGCTAAGATAATGGTTGATATAAATGTTGCATTCAAGAACAAAAATGATGGTTACAACATGCATCAAACGATCTCTGGTGCTTTGAAGTGTGAAAAAGAGATCGATTTACACTTTCTGGATCAAGATGCACCACGGTCCCTCATACGTAAGTAAATGTCACACTCCCTGAATCTTAGGTTGCAAGTTCCTAAGTTTGCAATAATCAACGCCAGTGTTTGCTTTATTACTTTTGCACATATATTTTGCATTTAAAAGAAATATTTATATAGGAGTTGAATGAGAAAAAGTGGTAACCGTGGTAAATTACTTCATATCTTTTAATAAAACAGCAGACATGTTGATAGGCATCTAAAAAGAGACTACTGACTTTTTTATTTGTAACCTTTCACTTGGTGGAAATGAGAACATCCGTTCTGTGATCTGTAGTTTTAACTTATTGCCAGTAGTAAGTTGTTTCTTTATATCCTCTGATGTCAAGTGATTGGGAGTGGGTGTGTTATTATGCACTTCCTTGATAATCTTCTTTCATGGCCTATTTTGCATCATTGTCTCCACTGTCATTAAATTGCAGTAACTCACGGGGATCCTTCATTAAGCTGCATTCCCCTTCTTTCCAACCCTTCCCCCATTTTACTGCTTAGCAATATTTGGAAGAGAAATGGACGACTTCCCTACCAAACAGCTCACCAAGAGTGGGTGTGTTAGCTAGGCTATATGTAGTGTCACACGATAACATTAAGGGTAAGGTAGGCCACGGCGAAGACGCAGAATTAACACCGGCGACTGTGATATTTAGTAAAACCTAATCGAAACGGTTGTAAGTTCCTCTGAAACACAGGAGCCATATTCTTAAATCCGACGACACACGTTTGAACACATGTCGCAGGAATTAAAGTCGTCCGGTCCGCAGCAAATGCTAAACTATCGAAACGCAGAGTTAAAGCGCACAACGTGTGCGAAATGGCATTTGGATGCAAAGTAACAGCCATGCTGCCGCAATGAGTCCTCTCCTTCACCAAGCTGCCATTTCTTCCTCCCCTCGACAGGGGCGGGCGAGAGACACCGCGCTTGTATGCTTCCGCAAAGAGCTAGCGTTTTTTTCCCTTTGAGGGGGAGGGGGATTTAAACAAACAACCCCCCACGGCATACCAACCGCAGTTGAAATTAGCCCCGAACAACATTCAGTGTGGTAGGATTGTCTCCGTTTTGTTCTGTGCCGTAAGAAGACGGTGTTTCGCGGGACAAAGTGTACGGCGCGCACTAATTGCCGTTTCGCGGAGGAATAGTCGACGCAGCCGGGACTAAGTGTGAGCGAGCTGAATGGAGGCAGCCTCTTCCTGGTGGATAAACAGTGACAGCTACAGGGCAGCCACCTAGACCCAGCACGCAGGCTCTGGCGCTGCCCTGGCAAACAACACCAAAATGGCTTCAGACAGTACACACATCGCGCAGTTGACTTCTGGTGAGTAAATAGGGAACGGAAAATGTGTCACGGTTGTTTTAATACCCCCCCAATTTCCTCGGTGCCCTCTTCTAACGCAGCTCCCGTCCTCTTCTCCCCCTCCAACCATACCAGAACTGTACTTCCTAATAGCCCGATTTCTAGAAGCTGGACCGTGTCAAAAAGCCGCCGAGGTTGGTTTTTATGTATTTTAGGACAATTTAGAACACGTCCGATATTGTCACGAGGTGTAATTTTGTATTTTTATCCTATTTTCAGACCCTGATAAGGGAGGTGGAGGAGAAGGAGGTAAGCAGTCAGCACTACGAGAGATGCTTCTGTCCACACTGTAGTTTGTGATGTAGCTTTTCCTCAGATTTGTAATTTAATGTTTTAAAACATGACTTGATACATTAATGAACTGGATTATTACAGCCGACACTATTTCTCCATCTTAGCTTCTACCCAAAAGGCTGGACTGGACAGGGCAGGAACATCCTGGGACGTACGAAAATTTGGTAAGGGTGCTCTATAACTGAGGAAAAAGTTTTTAGAGAGCAAAATAAAAATTGAATTTCCCGCAATTTTTAAATCAGGTGGTAAAGGGAAAAAAAAGGGCTCAGAGTGCGACTTGGCCGCAGATTGGGGCTGTTTTTGCAGCACCATGTGGGTCTGCTCTCAACCTCCTGTGCGGCATGTCGAGCGAGTTTGGGGCCATGCAAACCCAAAAGGTTCGAATAGTTGCTGGAAAATAGTGTGTGAAATGTTGATACGTCATGAGTGTTGTGGTGTAGGAGCGCCAGGATCCGGAGGAGGGACTCCCTGCGCCACAAGCCTGAGAGAGATGGAGGCGCTCTTGTCCTGCAAGAACCATCATTTCTGTGCATAGACCGAAAACACACAGGGGGGCAAGAGTCAGGAAACGGGACTTTTTGAGGCGAATATAAACAGTAGATCCAGTAAAACTGGATTCGTAGCACTTGTTGGAGGCTCAGTCGCTTCCCGCCCGTAGGTGGAGGGATTTCGGGGGAGCAATTTGTGGGGGAGACTGTTTCAAAGTTGGGCGAAAGAGAGGAAGCTCAGTTCGTGCGGATATGAAAGGTAACTTTCAGCTGATGTCTTAAAACCGCGCTATTAATTGACACGCTAATTGTCATATAAACAAACTAAGCTCGGCGGATTGAGACGTTTTACGCAGGGGGGGGCGTGGATACAACTCGTCAGCCGTTAGACGTTAGCTTATTTTAGCTTAACTGCCCGGACCCTTCGGCCTCATTTTTTTCCACCCGCAATTCGACAAGTTTTATTTTAACACTATTATAATAAATACAAATATTGACACGTGGGTCGTTTACGACACAAAGCGACTACAGTTTTTTTCCCCCCACAAAATTTCATGCTAGCTTTCGGAAATATAGTTCTGCGAACATCCTGGGCATGGTCGCGTGAGCTTGGACGGCACGTAAATTTAAACGTTTAAGAAATTATTGACAGCGTCTTTCTGCCCTGCTGCGTTTCTTTCTCTCTTCCTGCTTGGCTCGCTGGGCTTTGCGTCCCTCCTCCTCCCTTCCCCAGCCGTTCAGCCTGCCTCCTGTCTATTGTGCATACATATCCGTATTAAAAAAAATAAAGAAGGAAAGAAAGAAATAGTCTCTTGGACGAGGGGGGGTTTAATTATTATACGGAAGTGGGAACGACTGGGGGGGTTTACGGAGAGGAAGGCAGGATTTGGGTGGTTTGTCAGCGGTTGTAGTCGGACGTGTTCGCCGCTACAGAAGCAGAGGGGGTTGGGCAGCACCGAGGAAATAAACGTTGTCTTCAATGATATTGATGTAATTAATATTATTAATGGCGGCTAATTAATTTGAGTGGATTAATTGGATGTATTGTCATTATTATCATTATTTTTTAATTCTGAAACACAAACGGACCAGGAGAACGTTTTGGATTATTATGTCGGTGTGTTTTGAGGGGAAAATACAGCCAAAATATGTAATTACATACATTTAGTTTTTACGCTGTTATTCATTATTTATTGGCATCTCAACATGGAGAACCTTTTTAGAGCTTTTAATACGACTGCCCCTTTTTAAATTTTTTTTTATTTATTTATAGGGAAGATTTGTCAAACAGAGTGTTTGTAGGTGATGGGCTGATGGCACAGAGTGTGTTTTTGTGTTGGCAGGGATGTGCAAGACCATGTGCGCTTCCATGGTGCAGTTGGGTGTGTGTGTGTGAACCGTTACCTTTTATATGACAAGAAAAAGGGACCAAATAATTATTCAGATATCTCACTAATGCAGATGAGTGTGTGTGTGTGTGTGTGTGTAGGTGTTGGATCTACGTGTACCTGAGAGCTGATATGTGCTTAGAAACACTGATCACGTCTGGGAACCAGCAAGGATGTTGAAAGCAATTAAGGGGTCGTTAATTGTGTGTGTGTGTGTGTAAAAGGAAAAGACAGGTAGTGGTATTGTTGCTGCTTGGATAACGAAATGGAGAAATGCAATATTTAAATCAGATTGTGGCTGATGCAAAGCTGTTGCTGTTATTATCTGAAATTCATTTGATGTAAATACATTTGACCCCCCCTCCCCTCCCCCGATGTTTCTCCTGCTCTTCCAGTCATTTAGCCCAGTGTGTGTTTCTGTCAAAGTAGGCCATGTAGGAGTGTCCCCATGTGTCAGTGGAATCAGTGACACACTGTGTTTATACCAGTGTGGGCTTCTGTCTGCCTCATGCTTATGTTGCGCGCCACACCCCCCTGCACCCCCCACACCCCCTCCCTCCTCTACTTACTCCTGCCGCCAACTATATCTGTAACACTGTCATTGTAATAAGGGCTATACATGGGTAGCAACTTACTTTTTTTTGTGTTTTTTCGCGTTTGAATGAGTAATTATATATCCTTTTTTTTTTTTAAAGAAGAAAAAAAGGACATTAATTATTTGCCTCTACTTGCATTGCTCTGTTGTTTGTGCAGAAACCATTATTGATGCAGATTTTTAGAAGGGCACCTTTAACTCTAAGTGGCAGCCGGCGTTCCCGGAAGTGATGCTTTCTCGCCTTTTTTTTCAGGAAGCTCATTGTTTTTCATCTGTTTGCATCTAAAAGAGCACAAAACTGATATTTTATCTACCTGAAAGGGTTAGGGACTTTTTTCAACCACCAAGCTCTTTTTGATGACTACACAAACCATTTGGTTCACAATGTAAATCAATCATGTCAAATCTGCCTTAAGACATTTATATCATTGCTTGTTCCTGAATAGATTACAGAGTGCATCTGCATCTGAATACAGTGCTAACATGCAGGCCCTGCAGTTTATCCAGCTACCGTTTTAGAGGACGAGCTCCAAAAGTGCTTTGAAGGGAGTTGTGTGGCCTCTGCGTTGAAATTAAACTCGAAAGGAGAAAAAACAGAAAAATAAGGAACCTTCAGGGTGAAGTCACTTTTGAGCTATTTGACATTGTTTTTACTGCAGATGAAATCACTGAGTTCATTACGATTATTTAACCGCTTCCCCGCTGTCACACTCGGCCACAGGTTTTTTCAGATTGATTTTAGATGAGTACAAGGCTGCCTAGATGAGAAGCCCTACGGCTTTAACTTCAGCAACTGTTTGCAAATTTTTTGTATAATCATCTTGAATAGAATCTTGATAGTAATCTTCCCGTTAACCAGGATGAGCTATAATGTAGCAGCTCTGTGGAAGACCCTTTATAACTGAAATTTGATTAATTCTAAAGACACTATGAAATTCTAGCATAGAGACTTTTTTGTTTTTTTTGTTAGAGTTGTCTTTACAAAGGAAAGCTTATCCAGCTGTGTGTGTGTGTGTGTTTAGGTGAAACTCTACAGGCACGTAAGTCCAGACCACCTGCTGCAGGTGTGCTCCAGAGTGTGTCCGCTCCTGGAGAGGGAAGTCCCTGCCAGCGTGCCTGGGCTCACCAGCCTGCTGGGGGCTGGCAGGCAGAACCTCCTCCGCACCACCAAGAGTGAGTGGATGAAAGCTCACAGGCTCCGCTTTACTGTGCACACACACACACAGCAACACACCGACACAGCCAGCTGCTAATGAGCCCCTGCGTGCATGCTCAGACCGACAGCCGAACGGTCGGGAAACGCACACGTCTGCGTTCCCGCGCCGGTTTTGTGTTCATGGTCCATTCACCCGAATTTGTTTTTCTGATCATTTTGAAGGTTGCAAGCATGTTGTTTGGAAGGGTTCAGCACTGGCTGCGTTACATTGTGGAAGACCACCGGAGCCTCCTATTATTTATGGAAGCCCGCCCAATATCGGTAAAAAATATCAAATATTGACAATAATTCTAACCAAAACTAAAGCGATTTGTGACCAATGTATTCGACAACCTGCCTTATTGGTGTGTGTGTTTGCCCGTGTCCAGTGGAGACGAGCTTCAGCCGCCGGCTGAACGGCTCCTACCGCCTTCGGCAGCTGGTGCCCACCGCCGTGTACCAGCACATGAAGATGCACAAGAGGATCCTGGGACACCTGTCATCGGTGTACTGCGTCACCTTCGACCGGACGGGCCGGCGCATCTTCACCGTAAGGCTGCCTTTTCTTTCCTTTGTTTTTGCATGCATGTGTGTTTGACACGCTGGTCTGTTCATCCCGACTTCTGGCGGTTCAGTTGGACTTGCTCGGAGGCGTCTGACTAGTTAAAAGATGTGTTCTGCCAAGACAGACATATAAACATCCGGTTCTGGCTGGCGGTAATTACTGTTTACCTGGTGGAGGTGGGGCGCTGGTTCTCAGTGAAACACGGCTGTAAAACAGAAGAAGAAAGGGGGAAAAACCCAACAGTGCTTTGTCGTAATAGTTGTGTTTTTATTTTGAACTGAACTTTACCCTCTTTGTGTGTTTTCTGTGACGGAGATACAGCGTTTGCTTTGTGTGTGTTCGTTTCCAAAGAAGCCACAGGCGGCCTTCCCTCTTCTCTCTCTTTGCAAGCTCGAGTCAAACTCGCCTGCTGCTCTACACCATTTTCAGCTTTCAATCCTTAAATCTCTAAAAATGGCTGGCTGCTGCAATGAGAGTGGGGCTCAGTTTGACTGTCTCTTTCCGTTATCCCTCATCCTGCGCTGCCCCCTTCTTTGTTTCTTTCTACCCCCACACTCTCCTCTTTCTATTTCTCATCACAAGTAGAAAAATGTTTCCTCTGAGGGGCCTGGCTGATTGCCAGGATTAAAATTTATTCTGGGTCTCTGTCACTTTCTGCTTCTTCCTTTTTTCTTCCCGCATTCTGTTTCATGGTATAACTTTTGTTTAGATGTATTGTTTGTGGATCTGATGAGCTGATTGGTTGGTGTGGCTTTGGTGACACAGTGGCATTACCTTCAATCTTATTTATGTGTGCGGCACGGCAAAAATAAGAATGGTTTGGATAGCTGTCATATATCAAAATGACTAATAGAGACCACTTTGTTCAGTCTTGAATGATGAAAATACTGCCTCCCGTCGTCGCTATGGTAACCTGTTTGGGTTGGTAATAATTTTGAGAATTTGATAAAGGCGCATCTCGGTAAATGGCACAATTTTCAATCTAAGTATTTCAAAATCAGTGAGTCCCCAAAGGCATGTGCTTACCCAGGTTGCCATATGTATTCTTTCCAAACCCCCCTCTTTTCGTTTTGCTGAATGCTACTTGGAGAGTTTTGTTTATATTATTTTTATCTATTATTGCCGTGCTGCTGTTTTTCCTGAGCAGTTTTTGACAAAATGAGACGTCCTCGTGACCTTTCAGCCTCTGCTTTTTTTCCCAGTTCACTTCTGTTTTCCATCATCTGTGGCAAAAATAGCCCCACTGGGTTTACGCGGCTGAACTGCCCTTTGGTGTGAATAACTTTAAATTCTTTTCCTTTTTACTTATTTATTGATTTATTTCACTAATTCAAACGCAGTGTAGTAGTTTGAATGATTTTTTACTTCTCTGGGGTATAATTACAATAATAATAAACAAAACCAGTCCAGATGAACCCAATTTACTCTACTACTGTCATTCCTTTTTCCCTTTTGTCGCTTTTGATAGAAATAATCAGCTTAACGGTATGTAATTGCACGGTCATTTTTATGCAGCCTCATGTCACAGTGCAAATTCGTTATTCATATCTTCCTCTTTCGGTGGTTTGACGTCCGAATTTGCGAGCATGTCGGCATTTCAGAGCTGCAAACTCCCAGTTGTTTTTGTCCTTTGAAGCTGTTTGATTTGTTTTGCACGCTGCGTCTGAAAGAGCCCCCATCCCCTACGTAGTGACCACCATGTTGGTGCTCTCTCTCGCTCCCAGGGCTCGGACGACTGCCTGGTGAAGATCTGGGGAACAGACGACGGGCGCCTGCTGGCGACCCTGCGCGGCCACGCGGCCGAGATCTCCGACATGGCGGTCAGCTACGAGAACACCATGATCGCAGCAGGGTCCTGCGACAAGACCATCCGAGTGTGGTGCCTGCAGACCTGCGCCCCATTGGCTGTGCTGGAGGGGCACGCCGCCTCCATCACCTCGCTGCAGGTGGGGGGAGAGAAAACAGATGGAATCTGTGTCACTTCTCTTTTTGACATGGACACTTCACTAAAACTGTGATCAGGTGCTGTATTTCAGATCAAATTTGGATTTTTATAGATGATCCGTTAGCAGATTCCATCATACATACAGCATCACAGTGTATATATATATTTTTTTCTCTTATCGTGGTATCACAAGCCTGCATATTGTCATAGATGGTTAGGATGTAATCCTTAATGTTCACTGCACTGTTGGATGTTTCATTTGATGGCTTTTTAAGCTCAGTGGTGACCTCCTCATGGGTGTGTTTGCAGTTTTCGCCTCTCTGTTGCGGCTCCAAGCGCTACCTGTCCTCCACCGGAGCCGACGGCACCATCTGCTTCTGGCAGTGGGACGCTCGCACGCTGAAGTTTGGGTGAGAAAAACAGGCATTTTGTTTGTTTTTTTTGTTTTTTTTTCAGTGTTTTTCTAAGCTCAAGGTTTTTTTTAATTTCCTTGCTTTGTTTCCGTGTGTGTCCAGCCAGAGGCCCAGTAAATTCACAGAGCGCTCCAGACCCGGTGTCCAGATGATCTGCTCTTCCTTCAGCGCAGGTAAGCAACGAAATGAGAGCCTGGACAGCTTCTTCTTTTTTAATGTCACATTTGCACACGGCTGATTTTTAAAAGAAGAACAATGAAAATGTTGTGCACAAGCACTGATATTGTCCTTGATATGCGTGTCCAGGTGGTATGTTCCTCGCCACGGGGAGCACCGACCACATCATCAGGGTGTACTATTTCGGGTCGGGTCAACCGGAGAAGATCTCTGAACTGGAGTCCCACACTGTGAGTCAACGCAGAGGCTCCTGTATTAAGAATTCTTTTTTTTTTTTTTTTGTCGTATTCTTTTGGGGTATTTGTGTTTATATTTAAGCTGTGCCAGAATGTAAAAAAATATTTTTTTTGTGTCTGAATATTTATGGATTGGTTGTAATGGAGGCAGTTGCTATTGTCTGCCAAAACTCCAGATGTCAGAATTTTGTCCCAAAACTTAAAAAAAAAAAAAAAATTAAGCATTGATTGTGTTGTGTAAACAGGCTTGACTCCACTTTCTCCCTTTTTTCCTTCCTAACAGGACAAAGTTGACAGCATCCAATTTTCACATTGCAGTGACAGGTGAGTTTGCACACACACACACACACGTGTTGACTTTTCACAGTGCAACACTGTTTTAATGGAACCTCGGGACGCTGTAATGTGACTTTTATTGTGTCAGCAAAATGGGACCTTTTTCATTTAACATTTGGAACATGCTTCAGCACACACATACACACTCGGAACCGTACGTACACTCCTCGTGCGTTCTGGTGGCTAAACTGCGGGCGGAATGTTGGAGTTGGCAGAAAAACAAGCTCAGCTGTGAATCTCCTGGGTTCTAATCTGAGTGTGTGCCAAAAGCAGGAGAGTTGGAGGAGGGGACACACACACACGTTACACCTACAGTAATTGACGTGGAGATGGGAAGCGAAGTAAAGCAGAAAGCTGAATCTGTGCATCTTCAACCTTTTTTTTTCTGTATGCTTGTGTTGTAGGTTTGTGAGCGGCAGCAGGGATGGCACAGCTCGGATCTGGCAGCTGCAGCCTCAGGGCTGGAGGAGCATCCTGCTGGATATGCAGACCAAATTACCTGGGTACGTCTGTGTGTACAATATGTAATGTAGTGATGTGTTTGCTGGTGTCAACGTCGGGCCTTTGCTTTGGTGCTGATGGACACTCCTGACTGAGAACCGGTCGACGTTTGAACTCACGGCTTAAACTCATGGCTTAAATTCTTCCCAAATGGGTTTGCAGCTTAATGCCTGTTTTGACTCGGAACAAAGTGATGCTTAAAAAAAAGGCTGAAAGGACAAAAATAACTTTTTTTTTTCGACCAAGCTTTCAGTGACTTATTGACTGACTCTTGACACAGTATAGATTTACTGTGGTGACAAGTGATGAATAAAGATGAGAACTTCATACTCTTCTATCAGAGGTTAAGAGCAATCAGAAGAGTATCTGTTTTTTTCCATAGAGATCTACATGCCCTCATGTACCAAACTCTTCTTTGTTTTGATTTAGCACGTAGTGCATAAACATTTGTTTTAAATCAAATAGTTTATTAAAGGTGAATTGGCAGGTAGAAATGACTCAACAAAGCAATGAAATTATCCAAACACTGTTTAGTTTAGTTTCCGTTTTTATTTGTCAAGCCTTGCCATGTTGAAAACCTTGAATACTTTTCAGGTATTTTTATCAGAAGCAGACTGTAGGAATATTTGTAAATGTGTCTGTGAGGAAAAATGACAGCTTTAAAGAACAGAACTCGGTATACCCAGAATGACTGGAGCTCCTTGGGCTCTAGTCGCTCAGGTTGGGTTGCTTGACTCACAGACAGGAATTTGATTCCTGTAACGTCCCCATATGTGGGCAGAGGGGCCACTTTCCAGCTGCCGGTTTAATGTGAGCTGAGCTGTGTGTTTAAGGGCGCTTTGGTATTAAGAGCCCTATGTTCTCAGCATAGCAAATCAAGTCCATTGAAATGTGGGTAAACGGCAGTTCTTTCTGTCAACTAAACAGGCACAGAAGTGTGTTATAGCCCAGTTTCAATGTTTACCCACAGCAGCGAGCATCCCAGGTTTATAACAGATTTTATGAGCTGTGGGGGACATTAAACTTTAGATTACTCTTGAGCACTTGGCCAATCGGGAGCGTTTGTGCTGCCCTCGGAGCTTTTGTTTGCCCTCGGCTTCTCTGTTTTGGAAATGTATGAAGCAGCTCTCCAAAAATGTTGTTCCTTGTGGAAATGCATCTTTGGAAAACATCAGGGTCATGTTTTCTAACAGCTGTCTGACTTTATGTAAGTTTTCCCCAATTGTGTGTGTTTTTTTTTTTCCTAGTTGTATACTTGGGGTCTTGATATTGTGTCGATTGGATTGCTGTTTGTGTAAAATTAACTAAAAGTTCTGCCGCTTGTCTAAATAACGCCTTCATGCTCGCCTCAGGAAGTACAACCCGCCCCCACTCGAGGACAAGGTGACAAAGCTGAAGGTTACCATGGTAGCGTGGGATCGCCATGACGGCACGGTGATCACTGCGGCCAATAATCTGACGCTGAAGGTGTGGAACTCCATCACGGGGAACTTGGTGCACGTGCTGATGGTACGCAGCCGGTGGTGACTCGCACACTTCTATCCTCCTGTTTTTCTGTTTCTTATCCTCAACGCCTCTGTCCTCTTTTGACAGGGTCACGAGGATGAGGTGTTCGTCCTGGAGCCGCATCCCTTCGATCCCAGAATCCTCTTCTCGGCGGGGCATGATGGTAACTGCATTGTGTGGGACCTGGCTCGGGGAGTTAAGATCCGCTCCTATTTTAACATGGTAAGATTCTTTCAGAGTCTGCTTCCCCACTTCTGACTCCTCTCCCATGTCCATCTTTGCTGTACCTCCTTTCCCTTTTCGTCCAGCGACTGCTTTTCCTCTCTCCCTTTTGCTTCCGCTTTCTCCCTATTCTCAAATTTTCCTGGTACTGACATCATGTCTTTTTGCTCTCTAAAGGCTACACACGCATGAAATTATATACTTTTAGTGCATATGCCATTGTAGATATTGATCTAGTGTGTTAATTCTCTGTTGTAGCTCCTGCTTTGTCTCTATGGTGACCAAGGCCTGAGAATGAGTCACTAACTTAGTTGGTTGTTTGGCCAAATGATGGTGTCACTCACTGTGATGTTTGACAGATTTTAGTTTCAAACTTCTCAAGAGATGAGGGACTTTTGTAGAAGCTCATCTGGCTAATCGCAAATGATTAAAAAGGAAAGAATGCAATCAGTGGAGCGGGCCAGCTCAGGGATTTTTGTTACCCATCATGACTCATCAAAATGCACCAAAGGGCCCACCCAGAACAGGAACTGAACTTTTGTCCCTGTGACCCTTCTTTTTCTCAAACCACATCTGTGGGAATGAACCACAGAAAACCCCAGAAACTCCCAATTTCAAATTCGGTAACAAAGTCAGCCTTTTCACAATGTTTTGGCTCCGCTTCTTTTCATTGGCTTTCACATTTAACATTTGAATGAACCGCCGGCACATGTGTCTTACTGCAGTCCAACAAAAACAAAGGGATCATACCCACAAAAACCTGCAAAACTTCAATTAAAAAAAAGACACCAAACTTAGGGAATGAACGAGTTGTGGTGTCCTCACGTGACGCACAGCTTGTGGCAGATCAAATTTAACTGGCACGTTATGCACTTTGTTTCTTGTTGCCTGTTGCACGGACTTGAAAACTAGTTCCCCTTTCCTAAGCTGCATCAGTTTGACAGGCAGGCACCATCAAGGTAGTTTCCCCAACAGCCATTAGCTGAAAACTTGGCATATCTCCAGATGATGTGCAGCGCCTTTTTTAAAATAAACAAGGAAACTAAACAAGTGGAGTACAAAAGAAGAAGCGGCAAGCTTTGGAGACAGAGCAGACAAGCAGTATCTGAAAGTGGCATCTTTTCCATCTGCTGTTCACTGACAGCAGAAATGGCCTCACTGGAAGGCTGCCTGTCAGATGCCAGTCTTAAGGAAGGTAAAGATGGAGAAAACCCCACTGATTACTCACTGGGGAGATGGACATTGTCCAAACGTCCCATCGCTTTGTTGTCAACTGCAATTGCAGCAGCTACACTTTTCAACTATTTGTCTGATGTACATTGTTGACATTTTTTTCCACCCTTTCTGTGGTTAGATTGAGGGCCAAGGGCATGGAGCGTTGTTTGACTGTAAATGTAGCCCCGATGGGCAGCACTTTGCCGCCACCGATTCCCACGGTCACCTGCTCATCTTTGGCTTCGGCTCCAGCAGCAAGTACGACAAGGTAAACCTTCAGGTTCATGTCTGTAATGTGGAGACCCGTTCAGTGGCGGTAGTGTTAACCTGCGGTCCGCGCCTGCTTCAGATCGCAGACCAGATGTTCTTCCACACCGACTACCGGCCACTTATTCGAGATGCCAACAACTACGTGCTGGACGAGCAGACGCAGCAGGCGCCACACCTGATGCCCCCCCCTTTCCTGGTGGACGTGGACGGGAACCCCCACCCGCCAAGATACCAGCGGCTCGTGCCTGGCAGAGAGGGCTGCAGGGATGAGCAGCTGATTCCTCAGATGGGGGTCACCTCCTCAGGTACAGAAGCCGAGATCAGACCTTCACCTGTCAGCACCTGAAGGCACAGCCGCGGTCCTAGAACGCAGCAGATCTGCCCTTCTTGCCCAAAGGCGTTTCCATCCTTCTCTGTTTCATCAGAGCCCATCTGCCAGCCCATCAAAAAACACTTTTCAGGCTGATCACTGCTCCGTGAGCCATTCTCTCACCTCTCACCACCAGCTATTAGAATCAAGGACCTTTTAAATCTTGAAGGATTAATCATAAACATAAATGACCAGTTAGTTAAGCAAATGTCTCGGTAGAGTTTTGGGGAAAACCCCATGTGCTGCTTTCTTTTCTTCAGAATCGCTTCAGAATGTTTGCTTTTCAGAGGCTCTGCTCACTTTTTCTGAAACACATTGTCCTTCTCGCCTGCTGTCTGGTCAGGCCTGAACCAGGTGGTGAGCGAGCAGGCGATGGACGGTCCCAGTCCTCTGGACTCCATGATCCAGAGGCTGCAGCAGGAACAGGACCAAAGGCTGGGGGGCAACGATGTCTCTACAGCAAACAACAGGGCTGGCAGAGGTAGGACACACCCAGAGCCGTTCAGTGGAGTTTTATTTTTAGTTGCATCAGCTAGTGGCATTTCTTCTAAAATGACTTGGTCCTGCTTTTGTACAATCCAGAACAAATAAGCATTGCAAATGTCAAACGGTGTCAAAGGGAGCGCCTAGTTTCAGGGCAAAGGATGACAAGCAGACCTGTAAATAATCAGCCTGGAATTTGTCTGACGTTAACACCTTGTTCCTGGTATACTTTGTCTAAAATACATTTAAAGTCTTTGTCAGGTTTACTTGCGTTTAAAAAAAATATATATATATTTTTTATTTTTCAATAAAGGTTGGTTAGATTGAGTTACAGCAGCTTTTAAAAACAGAATAATAAATGGATATCATGCAGAGACCTGTTGCTGGCACAGTTTAAGAAAAGGCAGTTTGGTGATCTTTTTTTAAAACCACCTCTTCTGGGAATTTAGATTAACTCACACACACACACACAAAAACATTAAACCGCTTTTCAAGCTCTAACCGTCTACTGTACCTCAGCGTTGAAACAGTTTGTGAAAGCAGTGTTGTAATCTACCCCTTCGTCTCGTAAACCCCCCCCACCCTTATATCACCAAGATGTATGTATTGGATATCTGTGTGTAACATTAATCTAATAAGAGATGATGAAAATCATGTGCTTTAGTGCTCCGTATGGATTCAGAAAGCGATAAAGCTGCGCGTGAGAGGATCAGTTTAAAAGAAAGAAAGAGTTTTTTTTTTTTTATTAAACGGGTTAAGGTTTCCATTAACTTTTTGTTTTTCCTGTATATGATTCAATAACCGTGTCCCTGCTAAATGAAATGGTTTTTGACCTTCTGCTCTTTTTCCAGTTGTGACTGAAATGCATAAGTGGGGGATTGTAGTAAAAATCTTCTGTCTCCTTCAGGGTCGGTGGGTTCGCCCACAGAGGTACACTCTCCGCCCAACGTTGGCCTCCGACGTAGCGGGCAGATCGAGGGCGTCCGTCAGATGCACAGCAACGCCCCTCGCAGCCAGATGGCAACCGAGGGAGACCTGGTGGCCTGGAGCCGCCGAGTGCTGGTCCCCGAGCTGGAGGACGCCTCTGTCCGGTAAACTCCTCCATTCCACTTTGTGCAGAGAGGACCTCCTAGTGTTGTGGAAGTGATTGTTTAAGTAACCATATGATCTGTGAACGTGTGCAGGAGACAAGTGAACTGGCGTGAGGCCAAAGGGGAAGAAGAAATCAACATCTATCAGTCGGAAAGGAGGAGGCGTACAATCCACTCCCTCCCCAAAGAGAGCAGGGTTCGTGAAGTCTTCTCCTCTCCTTTTTTCTCTTTATCTGGGATCTCGGTACATTTGTTGGAGCCAGCCTCACACTCTGTGCCTTTGCAGGTGCATCCCACATCAGAGAGTAACGCAGAGGAGGGGAGGAAGAGCCAGGGGAACCACGGCTATCAAACTCGAGCTGCAATGGAGGAGACGAGCCGTCAGAGCGCCGAGACCGCCGATGACGATGATAGCACCTCAGAGGTATATACTGCACGGCTTTGAATCTAGGTTCAAGTTTTCTCTTTGAAATAGCCCACTCTGGAAGTCCTCAAGCCTAAAAAAGCATCTGATTGCCTTTAATTTAGGGAAAAATGGAGATCTATGAATACGCCAATAATAATAGTTTGCATACACACCCACCAGCTGGTACCTGCCTCGGCTGCCTCTAGTAAGCAAAGACCATTGGTTATACTTTATAATGAAGCCGTTCAATTTACATGTCAGCTGTCTAATGACAGATTAAGCGTCAGAGACCCAGCAGAGCTGCTGTTTCCCAGAAGTTGCTCAGTTCAAGCTTACTACCAGTTATATCTGGGAGCTTCTTTTCAGTTCTTTAAGACTACCTGCTTCACTGATGAATGGACGTTTTAGTGGCTTGTGTGGTTCTGGGACTTCATGCTGTTAGCTTATGGTGCTATTTATCTTGGTGCCACAGGAGCTGTTCCGTCCTTGGTTCCATCCGGAGCAAAGCAAGCTCCTCCTCAGCTGTCTAGCCTTTTCATTGCCTCTGTTTCTCAAGAACTTTGATGTAAAGGAATATTTCACAAGTATCAAACATGCTGTAGTGCCCGTCATTCAGTTCAGTGGAACCATACAGGCATTCTGACCTGGCATACCCGGGACCGTCTGTTTTGGTTTTTTGTTCTACACGGCAGTCATCTATTTTATTTTCATGGTGTGCAATCAGGGTGAAGTGGAGGTACGGCAGATCAATGGACACTCGTCAGAGGATGAGAAGGAAGAGGAACCAAAGGAGCCATGGCCAGATGACCACAGCAGTTCAAGGTAAGACGGCTTATGGGCGTACCCTTCAAATTCATCCCATCCGACTGAAACGTGCACAGATGTTGAAATCAAGGCATTCCCTCTCTGGTCCACTGCAGCGACTACTCCAGCGACTATTCTGACTGGACAGCGGACGCAGGGATCAACCTTGAGCCGCCCAAAAAGAGCGTGAAGGTGAAAAAAAAAAGCAGCGGCTCCGAGGAGGAGGGAGAGAAGAAGAGGGAGGGGAAGAAAGAGAAGAAGAAGGACAAATCAGACAAAGACGGTACTTTACCAAAGAAGAAGAAGGAGCCAAAAGAGAAGAGGAAGGTTTGTAATGAGAGATAACTAATTTAGCAGAGCAATGAGTTCAGATAAGGCAGAAGTGTGTATTTGACATCTTGATCTTGATGGCCTTCAGAGGGCTGAGTTGCAGGAGCAAGGGCTGACCTTGGAGGAGTGGCTTCCCTCCGCCTGGATCACCGACACGGTCCCTCGGAGATGTCCTTACATTCCACAGATGGGAGATGAGGTGCACAGCTTCAACACCACACATGCCAAAACCTCAGATGGTCAAAAAATAATCAGCTTGAAGCCGACAACCCACTGAGGCTTTTGGCGTTCGGTCAATCGTTTCTTTGTTGTTTATAAGTGGCCCCCTGGTCAAAACTCAGCCCGAAGTTTAAAATAAGCTCTTGCATTTCTGCTTTTGTGTGCAGGTGTACTACTTCCGGCAGGGCCACGAAGCATATGTGGAAATGGCCAAGCAGAAAAAGATATTCAGCATCAATCCTAAGAAACAGCCCTGGCACAAGATGGAGCTGCGGGTAGGGAACAGTTTGACAAAGACGGATTTAAACCCATTCCTGGAGATTTATTTTGACTCCTTATTTGTGGGCAAAGGTGTCTGTATAAGTTAAAGCAGGGCTTCCGTAAAGGAAATGTGAGCAGCTTTAACTGCTTAAGAGTAGAAGGCAATAAAGAAATGATCATTGGAAAATAATTCATGAATATAATTTGACATGAGCGCCACAGCTTGGCCGACAGATTTGGGATGTCATGTTTCCTGCGACATTTATTCGTTAAGAATGCTGTCTTTCCAGAATAATGACTAAAAAGGCAAGCCAACAAGCAATGAGAGAAGGGAAAACTGACATCATCTTCCTGAGAAACTATTGCTGTTCCTAGAAATTCGTTTGGAGCCACTGAGTGTGATAACTCACTGTTGTTTTGCTACAATGAAAAATTCCTGAAAACCTATTACCACACACTTCTCCCGTTTCACTTTCACGATACATCCACTTTCATGACCTCTTTACAGAGCTTTACAAATCACTTTTTAATAAAAATTCAACTCAATGTAGGAAACGTACTGTATATGTGGGGAAGTGCATCCAGGCTTTAGACTGGTGCTTTCTAAAGTAAAGAAATTATAAATATTTGCTTATTTTAGATGTGAGGGTAGCAGTTTCATTATTTGATACTTGCTTCAGTTTTTTTATTGCTGATCCACTTCAGAGAATCTGCCTCTCTGAGGTACCCTTTTTAAACCCAGTTTATACCAGCTGTGCTTACAATGGATGGAACCCAACAAAGCTCAGAATTCACAAGGAACCTTCCTCTTTATTCCTTTGTGGCGTTCAGGAGCAGGAGCTGATGAAGATAGTGGGCATAAAGTACGAAGTTGGCTTGCCCACTCTGTGCTGCCTGAAGCTGGCTTTTTTGGACCCTGACACTGGCAAACTGACCGGAGGATCCTTCTCTATGAAGTAAGCACCTGTAATCAGAAATGTGCTCTAAGGCAGAACATTTTTCAGTTTTAAGAGCTAGATTACATTTTTATTGCAGTGTATTATATATCGCCTGTCTTCATGGATGTGTTCCAATTCCGGGTTCTGCTTTGTACTATGAGAAAACGTGTACTCAACACAACATAATCATTTTCACCCTTTTTTCTATTACATTTTTTAAATTTCAGCCAAGTGTGAAACTCATGAGTTGCAATGATTGAAAGAACCAAAGGTTCCTTTTTAAAAAAATAAATAAATAAATAAATTCCTGAAGTCCCAAAATGACTTTTTTCTTGCAGGTACCACGACATGCCTGACGTGATTGACTTCCTGGTGTTACGGCAGCAGTTTGACAACGCCAGGCGGAGGCAGTGGACTATAGGTTAGATCGTTTTACCTTTTTGCGGTTCAACTTCTTAAAAATGCACGCAGAACTTTAATCTCAGATGAAGTAATGCATGTATCAGCTGCGCTTTTGAGATCAGGTCCTTACTTCTAACTAACTTTTTTCCTTCCTTTGGGTTAAGACCTAAATATCTCTATGGCGCGTGTGTGCGTAGGTGACAGGTTTCGGTCGGTGATTGATGACGCCTGGTGGTTTGGGACCATTGAGAGCCAGGAGCCCTACCAGTCCACGTACGCTGACAGCTTGTTCCAGTGCTACAATGTCTGGTACGACCACCGTTGAGATGTCGGATGATAATTCCCTTGCATTTGCACTAACGAGGACATTTGCAACGAGGAACTCTTTCCTGAGTTGGAACAAATCGAAGGTCTAAGCTACTCTGCAGAAGTGGTAGACGCGACAAGGATCTTTGAGCCTTTTAAGCTTCGCAATAAGCACACACACAACCCATATAGGCACAGAACACTAACAGATGTGACCACGCTGGTCCATCCCAAAGACCTCTAAATCACAGAAGCTGATGCCACCTCTGGACAAAGTTAGTATCCGTGTTTTGATTTGGCCTCCGTTGACATAATTCTACTTTATAGTGCTTGAACAGGGTTTTCCCCGAGCAATCCCTCGACTGTCTTGGAGGTTGAATTATTCTAGTTCTGTCCCAGGGATCCATAGGGGTCCCACTACGTATTTCCTTCATGATTCCCTGAGTCATTTAATGACTATTAGCATTCGAGAAAAGAATCGAACACAATGAGAAGTTTTCTTTAAGGAAAACTTCACCATTTATGGAGTTTGCTGTAACTACTGTCAACAACCAGACAAAACACAACGTATTAGGCCGGTTTCACAATCTCCCCCAGTCACTGTGTCAGCTGCCGCTTTATGTACTGTCGACTTCGTCTCAAGGGACAAATACTCATAAAGCGTCCTGCAAATTTTTATTTAATGACAGGGCGATCTGACATTTCCACTCCAGACTAAGTGAGAATTAAAGTGCAGACTGTTTTTAATTTGAGTGGTTTACATCCACAGTCTGCTTGGATATGTTTCCAGGAACTGCATACAGGCCCCTTGCGATTATGTCACTGGCATTTCCTCTCGCTAACCACCGAAACTTCTCATGACTTCAATAAAGTCTTCAATAATTTGGGTGAACCTAACATATTTTGTGAACTCATATGGACTTTTTTGTCATCCAGCTGGGATAACGGAGATACCGAGAAGATGAGTCCTTGGGACATGGAGCCCATCCCAGATGATGGTAGGCATTCAAAGTTCACCCCCACAGAAGCCCAGTGCTCCCTGTCCTTTATAAACTCTCTCCTGTGTCCAATCCATCGCTCCCTGCAGCTACATTCCCCGACGAATTGGGCCTGAGCGTCCCGCTGACGGAGGAGGAGCAGAAGGAGCTGCTGTACGTCCCTCTGGACGGGGAATGGGGCTGCCGCATGCGTGCCGAGGAGTGCGAACGCATCATCCAAGCGATCGACCAGCTCTGTACACTCGGTATGACGCCTTCATGCTCCTTTGAGTGCAGTTTACCTTTTGGTGTTTGGTAAGCAGGCATGTGGCATTAAGCTGCTGAGGCAGAATTCCGGTAAAGGACTTCTAATAACATGAGTCATCACGCTGAGCTCATCAGCAGAAGCAGAGTTCCCATGTTTAAAGACACAAGATGAGAAGTTGTCATCTGGTTTCCCATTCAGGGATGTGATGTCATTACAGGCACAGACTGGTATTAGGGCTCCCTCTAGTGGAGGTCTTGGACTAAAATACATGCATGGGCCCACATCAAGCTCTCTTAATCCCTCTAAATCTTTTCTTTTCACTGCAAAGCTTCGAGCTGCAGCTGCTCACAGTTCAGGATTAATATTTCCTTCTGAGCACCTAAATTTAGATGAAGAGAATAGTTATAATAAGATGTAAAGCTGTGATTTTGTACGGCTCAGCCACAATCCTTTTTTCTGTCTGTCCATCAACCAACGGGGCACGGTCAGACGTGGCAGCGCCGTTCGCTTTTCCGGTGGACCTGCAGGCCTACCCGACGTACTGCACCGTGGTGGCCTACGTCACCGACCTGAGCACCATACGCCAGCGGCTGGTCAACCGCTTCTACAGGTACCACGCCCCGGCCCGCGGTAGGTGCAGCACCCGGTGCGAGGGGCAGCGATGTCAACACGCCTGCTTCCCTCTTTCAGGCGGCTTTCCTCTCTGATGTGGGAGGTTCGTTACATCGAACACAACGCCCAAACCTTCAACGAGCCGGGATCCTTCATCGTCACCACCGCCAAGTTCGTCTCCGACCTCATGCTGGCGTTCATTAAGTGAGTATGTCCCGTGTGACGCATTTCCGCACGTTCAGCACTCTCAGATGATGGACTGAGCCCTTCTCCTCTTCCTCGTTTCCTCTGCAGGGACCAAAGCCTAACGGACCTCATGCCTCTCTACAAAACTATGAAGAAGGCAACTTTCTCAGACTCCTCAGAGGAGGTGTGTTTTTTTGTTGTTGTTTTTTCTACAAAAAAATGTTTACAGTGCAGAAGAGGATGCTTGTGGCATGTTTACACAGGTCTGGGAAGTTAAAGCAGAAATGACCTAATTTACATAGATATTAGCTCATTTTAACGCCCCTTGATCCAGGGAAAATGTTTGTGTCTTTTATTCCCTCTTCTATAAACAAGCTGAACAATTACATTTCCCTTTCACTACTTCTCCGAGCAGAACAATAACACAAAGCCACTTCACTCTGTTGAAACACTTATTCTGTTCAAAGAAATGTTAGTGATCAGCATGTATGATTTAAAGACGACCTTCTGGCTGGTTTTGCTGAATGTTTTACGTCTTTTTTCCCCCCACTCTTTTTTCCCCTCCATGTAGGATGATGAGGAAGAAGATGAAGATATCAACACTCCAGGAACATCCAAGCGGAACCATAAAGTACAGTTCTAACAGCTAACATGTTTGAATATAATAGGAGCCACTGTTGGAATGTCAAATGTATTCAAACACGTTCTGTGGTGGTTTTCTAACAATTTCCTTTTCTGTGTGCAGAGCCGTCGACCCATGCGGCGCCAACTGCGAACCCGTCCTCCTTCCTATGACCCTCATGCATGGAGGGGTCGCTGTAAGGAGCTGTTGGATCTCATCTTCCAGTGCGAGGACTCTGAACCCTTCAGAGAGCCAGTGGACCTACAGGAGTACCCGGTACCCATTCACCACAATTTATATTCATATTTCCTCATGTCCACATACAAGTGTCTTTACATGTGAATAATTAAACGGTCTGTTCATTCTTTTAGAGATAGGAGAGATAGGTGTGAAAAACTCTCCCTTCTCACTTTTTTTTCTACCTCTTTTGTTCTTTTCCGCTCCCCTTTCTTGAAGGACTACCTGCAAATAGTTGACTCACCAATGGACTTTGGCACAGTTCTCAGCACGCTCACTGAGGGAAAGTACCAGTCTCCCATTGAGCTCTGCAAGGATGTCAGGCTCATCTTTAGCAATTCCAAGGCTTACACTCCCAGTAAGAAGTCCCGGGTGAGAGGCGTACACACACACACACACACACACACACACACACACACACACACACACACACACACACAGATGCTACTGAAATTGTGTCTGTTTGTTGTTGTTTTTTGTAAGAATGAGGCAGCGGTTTTGGACGAGGTGATCATGCTCTTTATTGCTTGGTCAGATTTACAGTATGAGCCTGAGGCTTTCTGCACTCTTCGAGGAGCACGTGAGCTCCATTCTGTCCGACTACAAAGCCATCCACGGCCTGACCGACAAACTGACCAGAGCGGGCACAGACAGGCAGACGCGGCACACGGCGGACAGACAGACGCGGCACGCAATGAAGAGGAGGAGGAGGAGGAGCGAGTCCCCCACAAGCAGCAATGCATCCAGGTTCAAAGAAGCGAAAACATAAAAGCAAATGCTCAGTTTTCTTATGTTTTTTTTGTTTGAAATGGATTGAAATAAAGCCAAATATTACCGTTTGTGCTTGTAGCCCAGAGAGAAAGAGGCGCGTGTCGTCCAGGGTGACCGGGAGGAGGGAGCCGTCTCCGGCTCCGCCGCGGCCGTCCTCTCTGAGACAAAACGTCCCGCTGAAGCCGCCGCCTCAGATGGTCAACGGCAAGGCGGACGCGCCAGCTGCGGGGCGCACGCGCAGCGCTGCCCGCCACTTCACGCTCTCCTCACCTTCATCAAATAACGCCGCAAACAACTCGGCGAGCCCGGCGGGTCAGATTACAGAGCACCGCCGACACGTGAAGTCTGACAGGAACACACAGCTTCAGCGCGTTGAACAGCCTCCCCTCTTTGTCGTCCTCAGATTCCTCTCGCTCGCTGCGGGCTCATAATTCTGTGTCGGCTGCGACTCCCCCAACTGCAGAAAAGCTCAGCCCCTCGCCGCCCGCAGACGGTAACAGTGGAAGCACCCGCCGCAAACTCAGGATGCCCGTGCGCCACACACCAGGTCTGAGGCCCAAAGTGACGTCTGTGTTTCTGTTTGAAGGCGCAGAACAAATTAACTGACACACAGGCTTTCTTCTTTTTGTCCCTCTCAGGCTCCCCTTCCAGCCCGTCGCCTCAGAGCACAGTCCACCTCAATGGCCACAGCAGTCACATGACCCTGGCCGTGGGGAGGAGGGGCCGCAAGTCCAGAATGGACTCACCGGTCAGTCCTCCAGAGATCACCACTCCAGCCAGCCCTTCCAGACCCCGGGGTCGACCGCCGGGCAAGAAGAGAGGCAGGAAAAGTAAGCAGGAGCTGGATGAGATGAGGCGGAGCAGCAACCGCCGGAGCTCCACTCCCGAGGACGAGCTGGACCACTCCACGGGCGACGAAGGCGGAGCATCTTCTGCCCAGGAGACCTCCGCACTGTCGGACTCTGGCACCGCGTCCACGCCTAGACGGCGAGGGCGGCCCCGGGCAGTAAGAACTGAGGAGCTTGTTCCGCCCGCCGAGTCCCCCGAGCCCTCGCCCCTTAGGAGGAGCAGCAGGAGAGCCACCGAGGAGGTCACGCCTCCTCTCCAGGCCCCCTCGCAACGGTCCAGTCGGAGGGAATCCCCGAAGGACGAGGCAGGTGAGGGGTCGATGCGCACCCGTAACCAAGGGCGACGGTCAGCCTGGTACATGGAGGAGGATTCTGAGGAGGAGCAGAGACAGCTGCTGTTCGAGGACTCCTCCATAACATTTGGCACCTCCTCAAAGGGGCGCGTCCGCAAACTGACAGAAAAGGCCAAAGCCAACCTCATAGGCTGGTAACGCTCAGCCCAGGAGAAGGAACCTCTGCGGTGGGCGTTTTGGTGTGCGTATGTGTCTGTGGGGAGCCGCCGGTCCAGCTGCTGCTGTGGGACGCCGTGGCTGTGGAGAGGAACGCGCTCACTCCTCGTCGTGGCTGACCCCTCCCTCCTCTCCGCCCAGTAACAAGCACGTCAGCACAGCATGTTCATTTGCTCCAACTCCTACGTTATTGATCCATGTTGGATCCCACCGGAGCACCTAGAATCTCATGTTGATGTGCCTCGCTCCCCGACGGCTCGCTGTCAGATTGGGCAGAGCAGCCGGACAGAGAATACGTTTTCAAGGAGACAAAAAACGGTCTCCAAAGTGTTTCTTAGCAGAAAGTGTTTGGTCTGAGATAGAGGATGCACCCAAAGCGTAACAACTTCCTTTTTTCACCCCCAACCACCAACCCCGCCTTTGTTCCTGCTCCCTCTCTTTTTTTTTTTTTTTTCTACAACCCACTCTGCTTTTTCTAAGATTTGTACATGATGATCAGCTCTCTGTTTTGAAAGTCTTACACCGGAGTGAGTCTGCCTGCGCTAAAATACCAAATGGCGTTACCTTTGTTGGTACTGTCCTGCAGTTTTTTTGATCCGTTTTGACTTTTATTTGCATGTTTTTTAGAACACAAATGCACCCCCCCCCACCTTAACCGAAGCTGTTTTTACTGTGAGGAAGATAAGGATACATGGGTGAAATGAGTCCTGTATGTCTCTATAGAACATGTTTCAGTGCGTCCTCAGCATTAGCAATACCTTGTGCCTTTATGTCTGTGGTGTGTGTGTGGGTGTGTGTGTGTGCGTGTGTGTATGGCCTCTACCTGTGCCTGTTTGCATATGGACTTCATATGGACAAGCGTGTGTACCTGAAGGAGTTGCATGCGTGTTTTTGTAACACGGGTGAGTGTATAGTTCACTTTGGGCGTGCAAACAGTGGCAAACAGTCTGATCTTAAAAAAAACAAAGAAAAAGAAAGAAAAAAAAAACAAAAAAAGTATTTATAGCAGCTGAAAATATTTTTTTCTGTTGTTGTAAAAGCATACCATTATTCACGTGGCTATATCGTCCTGTAACAAACCGGCGGTGGGTTTATAGTTGAGGTACAGCGCGACGAGCTTATAGATGCACTTAAAAGAGAGGTTCTCGATGGAGTCCAAGGGAGGAACCATGTGTTGTTTTTTTTGTTTTCAATTTTGTTTTTTTAATGAGCTTTTAAAATGTGGATGTGGGTGCGTACATTACTTTTAGGATTCAGTCTTGCATGTTTTAGCACTTTCTCACACCTGAAAGAAACAAGAGTGAGCCGGATCACACCGGACCGGACTGAATTTGGACCCAGCAAGCTGGAGGAGGAGGAGAGAAGTCTCGTATTCCTATCGTGTGCCTTTGCTACTCTGGCATATTGAATCCCTGGTTGTTGTATTTTTTTGTTTTTTTTGAAAGAGACTTCCTGGTTCTGCTCAACGCTCGATTCAGAGAGCTGGATTTCGGGAACCGGACCAGACCTGACAGGGGTGTACCTTGGGCTTCTCAAGGAAGGAAAAGATGGATAAATTTACAATCCAACTGGGGACAAAAACATTGTCACTCTTTGTACACGCAGCATAACGGATTGATTTATAAAGACTGAGGCATCGGATTTTTGACATTTTCCCCCTTCAACACAGAGCAAGTGAAAGCCAAAATGCGCGACTCTAATCATGTTTTATAGGATTGACTGGGGAGAACTGGATGGGAACATTCACATACACTTGGTTCATCTCAAAGGTCACATATTACTAAGCATATATCGCATCTGTGTGTCACCGGTAGTGTCGTTTTTGTAACGGGTTTTTTGTCAATGCCAAATTCTGTCTTTTGGGCACTGAAGTTTTAGAACACGGCTTTTGAATGTGTTTTATTTTTTTTAAACAAAAGTTTTATCGTCGTCATGGTGGGTGTTCCTTTTCCGCTGCTTTTGTTTTTCTGTCCCTGCCACACGGGACGAGTGGCTAAATCTGTGGAGATCGAGTGGTGTTTTATGCTCTGCCGCACATATTTTAAGACATAATTCACAACACTTTGAGAATGTGCACATGAAGAGTTTATTTCCAAACTGAAATGTAAGTTTTTCTTTTGTTTCTATGAAGAATCAAATCTAATGCTTTGTTCTAAACTCTTCATATGCATATTCTTTTTTTTTTTTTTTTTTCCTTATTCCTAGTTTCTGTTCCAGCCACAAAAATAAATTTAGTTTTATTTCAAAGCGGCTGGCGGTCTGGTGACGGGTTAGCGACCTGTCCAGGGGGCGCCCCGCCCTGGGATAGGATCCACCCCTCTCCGCTACCCCGGCTTGTGTTAACTTGTGTGGGGAAAAGAGAAGGAAAGGATAACTCTGGTTCAGTAGGTCAGGGCAGCGCTTCTGTCCTAACCCTGACCCACTCAGGAGGCAGACGCCTGCCTGAGCCTCACCGCCTCTGGTCGGAGGTTAAAGGTCACCGAGGTGGCAAACGTGAACCACCCAAAGCATAGTTGGATGGGAAAGGAAGGAAGGAAGGAAGGGGGGGGGTTCTCTGTTTTTATGTGAACTGATTGCCGAGGTTGTCTTTGTTAGTTTGGATACTTTTTCTATATAAAGGAATTAATGCAAAAAAGAAACATAAAGCTAGAATGTACGTGTAGGGGAGTACTACTGTCCTGTTAGTTCAAACCAATATTTTAAGTAAATAAACATTTGTGTTTCCATATTTACATTTACTTCCTGGTCTTTTTATAGATTTCTCTTAGGATCTCGTTTCTGAATTCCGCCCCCTCTGGCGAACAGCTCCACCCCGCGGTTTCTAAGTGTAACTGCAACTTCCCGTCCCGGACCTCACGGGCTCGGCTCGTCCTGACGTGGCGAGCCGCTAAAGGCCCGTCCGCACCTCCGTGGGCCGCGTCCATTGGCCACACCGCCGGCTCGGCAAACGCTCCCGAAAAATGTAAATAGACAGGTGCCGGCGGCATGTGTCGGCGTGCGGTTTATGTAAATAAAACAGAAGTGAAACCGCGTCACTCCTCTGGTTTCCAGCCGCCACCGGCTCTCTCCGGCACAATGTTTGACAGAAAGCTCTCGAGTCAAGAGTTCGGAATTTAGCAACAGGTAAGGACTCCAAACTGTGGCTTTTGGGTTAATAAGTGGGTGCTGCATCTTTCAAACGGCACCGTGTTCATTTCAGCGACATGTTTGAACACCGTAGGGTTCATTTAGGGCCAAATAAACGAGGGGCCTTCAGGTGCAGTGGTGAAATTCAAACTCGTGTATTTAACTTATTGGGCTGTAACCACAACACGAGGTTCCTCTTTTTAAGAAAAAGCAGCAGCACTCATTCTGGGCTGACAGCATACGGCGTGAGTTCCCCCTCCTGTGAGAGGCTCTTGACGGTTTCCCAGGTGGCTGTTTCCCAGGTGGCGGCCATGCCTCAGCTCGGGGCCGCGGCCGCGCTGCAGCTCGCGCTGCTGCTCTCCGCGGTTCCCGCCCAGTACCTGGTGTCCCGGTGGGCCGGCTCCACAGCGGCGCAGCGCTACCACGCGACCACACGGTAATTAGTGGTTAAAAAATGTTTTATTTTGTATTCGTAGACCGAAACGGCGACTTAACAGGCTTATTTTTGGACTAAGGACATGAAAACTGTGTTCCAGGTTGCTTCGCATATGGAAAGAGTGGAGAGCCTCTTACCTCAATGGCACTCTGTGGATGGACTGGACCAACGAGCAGGTGTCCAAAGTCAAGTGGGTGCAATTTTCATTTATCCTGTCCCAGAAAGTGGGTAATTAGAGCTAAATTCAAAAAGAATGTACGTGAGTGTTTGTGTCAAATGTTTTATTTAAGGGGCACTTCAGTGAAAATGAATTATTTCCTCCTGCAGGTCTCTGCTTGGTTTGGAAAATGATGAGGCCGTCTCTCCTCCCATAGAGACTATGATTTTTGACAATGACCAGGGATTTTTTGGAGGTTTGTGGATGCACACTAGGCTAATGTTCAAACTCACACAGGTGCTTGATTCACATTAAACACTGGGCATGTCCTACCTATATTGCCAGAAAAATGGTAAATATTTGCAGCAATCTACTGAAACATCTGTGATCATAAGTTGAAGTGCAGCTGACGTGGTCTAAAGTTAAGAAAAGCCTAACGAGCTTTAAAGCTAATATTTGGTTATGAGTAGTTTTATTATTCAACTTAACCTGAACCCTTATATAAAGATGTCTTGTCATTTCTATAAGTAGATTTAAGGAATGTCTCCCCAGACGTCCTAAAAGATATCTGAGATTTCCTGCTTTTGATAATCATTTACATCATTTGGCATGCCTCAACTTTTCTCCCTGTTCACCGTTAATACAGAATGAGTTATTTTCCTCAATGCTGACCATTTCTGACCTTAAGTTACCGGATGGATGAACTGAAGGTCCCCAAGAATCCCTTTTTTTTCATACGTCTAAAGAACTGCTGTCAGTTTTTTTTTATTTTTTAGAACTGTCACTTTCTTGAATATTGTCCACTTATTCAATTTCCTTTAATTTTTCTTAGTAAGGAATCACTGCACACCAACCTAACATATGCCAGGTTTTCAGCTAATAGCTCATTGATAATTATGAAGGAGTCACCCCCCCGGAAGAGTCTGAGATGAGCGGCTGTCAGACTTGTGTGGTCTTATGAAAGTGAAACGCTTTATGTGCTCGTCTTTGTACCCACAGCTGCCAAAAACGTGCGAAGCCCTCGTCCACCGTTCGTGTTTCTGCGGGTCGGAGAGGTGGTGATGGAGAGGAAGGGCCACATGGTCGGGGTGGTGGTCAGCTGGGACCCTGAACTGCGAGCGCCCCCTGAATGGGTCAACAGGGTATATTCAGACTCTGAGGTCGGAAGTTCTTTCTCTGCCCCAATCAGATTTTAAAAACCCTTCTTGTTTAGAGTTTATGGATGATGTGTAACTGAAGTGACATGAACACTAGGATTTGAAAGCAGAGAGGACGCCTCATTACAAGGTGCTGTTCAGTGGGCCTGGACCCTCCTCTCTGATGGTAGCATACTTGCCTCAAACACAGCTGGAGCGTGTCACAGGGATGAGGGTGAGTTCTGGAAAATCCTGGCACACACACACATAAACATACACACACATACACATACCGTAGCACAGCACATCTTGAACTCATGGTCGGGTGTTTCCAGCCGGACATTCCCACCCTGGAGAATTACTTCACTCATTTCGACGGGACGCGCTTCGTCATGCAGCCCTGGCTCAGGGAGCTCTTCCCAGAGGATGAGCACGAGGATGCTTGACTTTTCCATCTGAGAGCGTCTTTTATCCGCTCCGTCTTACGTGCCAGCGCTCATCTCAGACACAGGGTCCGGCCAAAAAGTGCCAAAGTTTGCGCCGTTCAGCGATAATTACTGAACCCCTGCTTTCTGGGACTCATTTAAAGAATGTCCCTGGATATGGATTACAAAATCGAACAAATACATGTTTTAATTAAGTTAATCACTTTTGATTTCAGGCCTGTGGAAATATAGTGTTTTTATTTGAAATGGACAGACTTGAAAGTGGATTGGTGACATGTTTAAATAAATTCCTGTAAATGCTTGAAATCTATTTTTTTTAATAAAATTGGCAAGACAATAATATTAGCAAGTCTTCAGAGTTTTTTCCTGCTTCTGTCTCTGAAGCTGAAGGAGACGGACACCTGAGAGGAGGCAGTGACCGTGGGGATGTGGGGGAAGCGAGGATGGTGTCCTGAGCCCTGCTTTCTGCCTGCACCCTCCTCTTCCTCCTCCTCCTCCTCCTCCTCCTCACTTCTCCGCTCCTTGGTTTCCTCTTCTCTAACAAGCAGGGGGGATCCCAGACTTTGGCCCAGGAGCTGACTGACTCTGCTGGCCTTCTGTTGAGCATTTTCAACCGCCGCCACACAGGCGCGCAGCCTATGGGGGAAAAACAAAACAATCATAGTGGTCAACAATAAGAATATTTTTTTAAATCAAGAAATTCGTCTCAAATCCAGAGTTATTTGTGAGTTTGTTTTTCTCATTACCTCAGCTGACTCAGACAGCCAGGACTGTGGTAGAACTGAGGTGTCCCCACGCAAACACTCTTGTCCAGCTTCTCCAGCAGAACGCTGCATATTTGCTCCATCTTCTGAAAATCCGAGAAGACAATCGCGACCTGTGGGGCGGGGACACATTTTGTAACACCCTCACACGCATCTCTACGCAGCAACACCTTCAGTCCTCATGAGCGACCGTCCAAATGCCTGACCTCTGCGTCCATGCGATACATGTCAGCGTTTCTGTGGACGAACCTCCTCACCGAGGTGTCCTCATCCCTGACGCCATGCTGTCTGAGCAGGAGTGAATTAAAAAGAAAAATCCTTATGAGTTGACGGTAATCTAATTATACATTGAGACAGTCCTGCACAAAAGTGGCAAATTAGAGGCATCCAAATGCAGTGTTTAAGGCTTCTTCCAGTGGCCAAAAGCTACAAATAACATTTTAAGCTCTGAAACTTTCAGTAACTTTTCCTTGATTCTTCCAATGGTGGAAATATCATAAGTCAGCTGTCACACGTAATTGCAAAATTGAAATGACTGATGGAAGGCTGGACTGCAAACTGGACCTATTCCCACCGTGGTACCGTTACTAGTACTCCCATCTGACCTTCTTGCACGCGCAGTATTTTGGTTTGCGACAGCAGCCGTCTTAAACGAACGTGCTAACAGTTCAGCTTCAGTTAACCCAGCAGCAGCTTCAAAACCAAACTCCCTTCTCACCTTAGAGTCTGTAAAATGTATTCGAGTCTTCGACAAACGCTGCCGGTCACTTCGCTGACGGACTCTTTGCTGTTGCCGACACTGACCCGGACAGACGCTCGGTCGGCCGGGCAAGAAACCTCCGCTACCCCGGTGACCTGGACTTCTCTGTGTCGGTGGACGGGACCTTCTGCGGTAATTCTTCTACCTTCCACCCCTTGTTGTTTTTCATTTCCGACGACTTCCCGTGAGATAAACGGTGCTTTCGCTGTGAAAACGTGAGTAGGGCTGTTCATTATGGATGTAAGCAAAAATCGTCTTCCCGCTGCTATGGTAATAGCCGATATGCATCACGGGAGTTGGAGGCTACTTCCGCCATTGACCTACAGCTGACTGCAGGGTTGGACCTGAAGCTAGATACATGTCAAACTCCAGTTCTTAACCAAAAAAATATATTTGAGATTTGTAATGACTATGATGTGGAAAAAATATTTGTGTATTGCAAGCCAGGGATTTTTTGTTCATCATTATAGTGGCGGCTTTGTTGACTTTTAAATAAAGTAAGTAGAAACGGAGTGTTGCCTTGCCCTGTTGGCGCCGTTGGTTGGCCACTAGGTGGAAGCAAAGTATAATACAAAAAGACCCAAAGAAGCCATGAATCCCAGTTTTCCTACTTTTGAAGCCACTTTTGAATTTTTTTTAATCCATTCCCCCCCAGCTACTTAGCTCTTTAGATATTTTCTAGTAGTAAATGGTAGCTAATTTAATGTTGTGAAACCGGTTACCTAACACATAACTAACACATGAGATGTTATTAACAAATAACAAAAACGAGTATATAAAACATAACATTGAACACGCTTTATTTATTTGATTTAGTGCTAAAATGATGGAATAACAATTTAATGTAGCCATTTACTGACATGACAATCTGATGTAAAACTAATAACTTCTTGTGGCTGTTCTTTTTCCATTGTAACATGCCAAGGAATGATTGAATGACTAAAATTAGGATGTTTCAGCGTTTGTCCTGCAAATCTTATTATGTTCTCCACATGCGGCATGTGCCCCATGTTTTTTTTTGTTTTTCTCCACTTCTCAAGACAGAGAGAGGCAGCAGTGATTTGATCCATCTCTGTCTGCTGGTTTCTTCATGCAACAAAGTTTATTTTGTTTCCCTGCGGCATTAAATCGTGAAATGAGCATTATAATCACAACCTAAAAATACAAGGCCATATTTGTTGTTGTTGTCTCCAGTTTCGCTGGTCTCCTGGTATGCTCTGTGAAGCCCCACATCTGATGCGAAGCTCTGGTCAAGAGCGATGCAGCACAGTGTGATAGGATGTTTTCATGTGGGAGAGGACGGGGAAGAGGTGGAGACCTTTACTGTTAAGTCTCTATGGAAGCTCAGAGCTTTTCATGAAAGGGGGCCTGCGCTGTTTTCACATATCTCCTGGTTATCTACGGCTCTAATCTCCTCCAAAACGTTCCTCCTTATACTTTACTGACTCCATCACACCCACACCTCTCAGAGCGGAATGATGGCTTTCTTAAAGTGATTTTCTTTTAATGCTTAGGTTATAAGCTTAGGTGCTGGGATGTTGTGGTAAACAGAAAGCAGGGAATTATTTGTTCAGTTGGCGTACATCATGAGATTGCCAACCGCTTACATAAACAACAAACCATTTTACTATATAAAGCATAAAATTCTTCTTTCCCCATGTTCGCCTAACGACCATCACTTTAATAGTACTTACTGTGATGCCTACCATGAAATTAGGCTGCAAAGATTTATGTAAATATAGAGGCTGGTAAAGTGAGTCTCAGAGCTTTTGCCCTCCGCCGTGCCCCCTGCTCACAGGGTGAAAAGGGGTCTGGGGAGCGTATAGATGGAGACTGCGGCCACTTTGGGAAATAGATTTCTCTGTAATGGCCTCTGAATCTGTTGATGTGTGTCTCCTTCTCTCCTGCTCTCTCAGATGAAGCAATAAAGCTTGCCGTGTTGGAGTCCCTCCACGTCTCTCCATAGACCACAATCAGGGCCCGTGCAGTTTTATAGCAGTTTTATTTTCATATTGTCCAAAAAATCTCCAGACTCCCTTCCCTGGCCCTCGCCATAAATCGCATATTTTGACTGTATTTCTTCCCTTCTGCGTTTTATTTTTTTCAAATTTATGGGCAAAGGCGATAAAACACGCAACTTGCACTCTGTGTGTCCACAGCTGTCATCTGTCAAGGGCTTTATTGTTCGGAGGGGGGGGTAGGGGCAGAAAAAGTGAAGTTTCCCTTTTTAATTCCCTTCGCAAATCTCCCTCCCTGTTAAAAAACAGATGCTGATAGAATGAGAAAACACAATAAATGGAGAATTTTCATTGTTTACCTCTCCAGACTCTTCTGAGGAACGCTTTTATTGGTTGCAAAGCCAGCGGTGCTCAGCTCAGTTGGACATGAAGCTCAGATGGTGATCATAGTTTCATCAGCAGGGGGTACCGGTACCTGTAGGCATAGCGTCCATCTCAACTGCAAACACCCTCATTAGACAGATTCATGATTACATTCTTTTCCCTTTTTTTTTTTATCTCTGACTATCTGCGTTCTATATCCAAATTTGAGGGACTCGATTTGTAATGATAACACCGACGGATTCTAAAAAGTGGTGACTTAAGTTGTAGTTTTTGATTCGAGTACCCCCAAGAATGATGATGTCTAAGCTATGTGTGTCCTTTGCTTGGCCCGGAAATGAGTGCAACTGGGTATATGTTCCTAGAGTTGTGGAACCTTTTCAATGCTGGATATTAAAAAAATAATAGGTTCACTTTACTATGAACCGTACCAAATTGGCAGCAGGGATGTGTTCCAGCCTACACGCAACCCTGATCTTGACTGAAGGGGTCTAGAAAAATGTATGGAAATTTTGAAAGGCAAAGGATTTTTTTTTTCAATGAAACAAAAAGTGCCACTGTGGCTGACTTAGTCTAACTGGTGTTTAGTGGATGTTACCTTTGTGGTAAAGAAAAATAGATATGAGAGAAAGCAGCTCCATAGATTTGAACCATTAGCAACTCCTTTATAAATTGAATCCCAAGAAACTTAAAAGGGCCAGTCAGATGTTAATAGACTAAAATGCAACATTCTGGAACCGAACATACTATCAGTGATCCCTTTACCATTGAACTATTTCAAATGCATTCCAGTGATCCACACCTTAATTAAGTGATGCCCTCAGGCCTGGGGAGATGAGCCGGGAGGCGATGTCAGCGCCGAGTTCTCTGCATGTCAGGGTATTATCGGAGGAATTTCCTCATGCTGTCGCTCAGACCCACAGCGCCCATCTCTGTAAACAGCTCATAGTCAAATAAACGGTTTTGCTCACAACTGTTCCGCTCCCCCATCAAGGAATGTGCCAGCGTATCAGCCCAGAGTTGGACTTGTGAAGGCATAAAAATAAAAAAAACACAACGCATCGCTAGCAATTTTGTGTGATGGGTTTAAACTCTTCTAGTGCATGTGGACGAGTAGATCTGTTCATAACTACAGACACATTGTTGCAACATCAGTGCGAAGACGGAAGTCCTCTGCACATTTACACTTCCTGGTCCGTTCCATTTTTGGTCTCTTTTATGGCTCACTGATGAGAGGTTTCCATGTCGAGTCCATCACGGAAACATGTGTACGGTCTCTCTCGTACGTATACGCTGAACCTGTCGTAAAGACCTCATAAAGAGTCAACATCTGTTTATGGCGAGGCATGCCAGGAGATTTTGCAACAGAAACACCCAGCTCTGTAAATACCCACCTACACCCACACAGAGAGCCCTGAATGTTTTAATTAGTGTGCTCAGGCTTAGATGGACACAGGTGCAGGAGCTAAAATGTGCTTGATGATGAGGGTTTTAAATAAAAATGTTTTTTTTCTAAAGAAACCTCCTCCATTAACTTTAGTGTTAAAAAAAAGAAGAAGAAAATGCAATTAACATAATTCTGGAACATCCAAGCATCAGTCAATCAATCAGTAATGATTGGTGAGGGTGTCGGGGTTGATGTGTAAAACAAAATCTTGCAAATCAAGGATGAGATTACCACTTTGAGGTAATCTCAGTCCAAAAATCAATTCCTAATTTTAAGACTGAAGAAATTAGGAACTAGGGAGTCTGGAGAAATATTGGTTTGTTGGTAGGAAACCACAACTGGTGTTGCTTCCTTCCTTTAAAAAAAAAAAAAAGAAAAAGTATTTCTATATGTTACCCTTTATACTCTTGTGTCCCCATTTTGTCGTCTGCAGATCTGTTTTTTTTTTTTTTTTTTTAAGGGGCCTTGTGGGTTTTGGGGGCTTTATAAAAAGTTCAAAGGCAGCGTTTACTACTGTAACTGGAGCTAGTCTGCAGCGAGGCTTTTCACTAATGAGTGAGCAGCGTACACTCCACACACTTGCAGGATGAAAAACACACACAGATCTCAGGTCAGACAACGCCTGCCGCAGCAGTGGAGGCCGCAGCGATGTCCCTCATCATTAATCCAGCGTTATGGCCGTGATTGTGTCTGTCTCAGAGCCAAATGACCTATCGGGAACCTAAACTGACTCAATAAACCTTTCAGCGCCGGGATCCCTCTGTGTTTTTTCGCTCCCTCCGCTGTCTTCCAAATTATATTTCCGGCTGCCTTTAACAGATGAACTGGAAAGTCCGATCTTCTCTGAGTTTTCTGGTTGTACGGCAAGTATGTCAGGAATAATGCCACTCATGCAGGTTTTTCCGAAATAAATATATATTGGAATATGTAAATCAAAATATCTCATCCATGACTTGACACTACTTGTAGAAATATTTTCTGTATTCTGAGTTGTCATGAGAATTTACTTGTTTGACCTCTGCCTTGCTTGTTATCATCGCTTTCGGCTTGAGAGCCTATGTAATGTGTAAACCTGCATTTTTTTTTAAGCATGTAAAGCTGTCAAGTGTGTGTGTACTTTAGATTTAAAGTGGACGTGCTCCCAGAGAGCGTAAAGACCCTTCAGGATACTCAAATAACCAGAGAAATCGCTAATGGTTTCACTACGCCGTCTTCCACAAACCTTTTACAACAAATTAGAATTTAATAATGTTTGTTGAGCCTTTGGAGCTTTGCGGTTTTGACCTTCCTCTCTGCCATGTCCTCGGATGTCTGACATTCCAGAGTAAACACAAAAACAAACAAGCCAAATAGCGACGCCTGGGATCAGATAGCTGGTACTGACATATTTGTAGAATGTGTGTTTCTGCCAGATGTTAGAGCCTTCTATCTGTCTGTCTGTCCAATAATAGATAATAACTCT